CTAAAATGAACTTTTAAAGGCAAAATCATATTTTTCTCAAATTTCCACATAAAGGCTTTTCGTACATGCGCCTGGACTACACACGCAAATCGAGGAAAAATAAGGCGAGGTTTTAAAGGCCTCGAAACCCCGAATTGGATTCTAAAATACAAGATGAACTTTCGGGTCATCTCTCTCTCACACACACACACAGATATATATATATATATATATATATATATATTTATATATTTTTTTTTATGTCATGACGTATATATAAATGCAAAAATTTTATTTCTAGCATTTTTTGATTTTATGTAATAGCTCAATTCAATAGTGATATCATCCACATAGCTTAGGCACACAGCCTTAAAGATATGATTTTGTGTTCCAAGATTTACTTTCATAGATAGCTAATACTTTAGCACATACGGAAATAAGAAATAACACTTCCTATAATTATGAGAACGAACAAAAACAATAAAAATTATAGGTAGAGCCTATAGAATTTAATTTTTGGATTCATATTTTCTGTTATTTGAACTTCTGATGACAAGAGTAGATTAAGGATAATCCAATCTAACTATATGGTTTGGATTGGTTTGATTTGTCGGACTTTTCGGATTTTTTTGTTACATGAACATTACTTCAATTTTACTTTGTTAAATTTTTTATAAGTAAATATATGTTTAGTATAAATAAAAGGATGATTGATTTCACCCAAGTCTGTATAAGTTCTTTGCTAATTCTATAAGAATGAAAGAGTGAATAATTTATTATACATGATAATCTTTCATGGAAATAGAATTTGAATGATCTTTTTGATGGAAGGGAAGATGATGATTAATGTATTGGTGGAACTCTTTATGAGTTGTGAAAAAATTATCTCCTTACCCTGAATTTTTTTTAAAAATATGGGGGTTCGTGATGCCCAAAGTTATATATCATGTTCCTAAGAAGGAAAAATTATTTGTTAAAATTATAATGAAGCCTTAAAAATTGAGATTTTATGTGGTGGAAATTTATATTGGAAGATAAAAAAAATATATGTATTTCTGGCTCTGAAAAATTATCCTGCTTTGGGTCTCTTAGTAATTTGGGTAAAGAAATAATTGAATTATGACCCCTTTCCTGCTAATTTGAGATATTTTTGTAGAAGTTAAAGTTTCTTCTATGTTTAAAAAAATTTACCTTGGTATTTGAATACAAAAGTTACCAAAAGAAAATAAATTCTTGTGTGTTCAAAGATATTTCAAAAAGCACTTGTACAGAAGTCAAGTTTCAATTTATTTGAGGTGATTTTGTGCCTTATTTGAGAAATACTATGTGTGAGTATTCTTTATGTGAATTTTCCACTGTATTAGAAGGATACAGTGATGATATTGAATCTCTGATTCAGATGAGAAAAAACTAGCTAGTTGTTGTGTGATCACCTTTTGGTGGCTGTTATGATATTGGAATTTTCCGGTAATGAGGTTGATCAAGCAACCTTTTGGTGAGTTAAATCAACAATAATTATATCGATGAATTATGATTTCCGAAGCGCAATAACCATTGTAAGAAAATAAATCTTTTAATGGTAAGAGTAGATCAGTAGACACATTTTCTTAAGATATAATGTCATAAAGCAATTGCTTAGAGATGAGAATTTTTTATACATATTATGTATAGTCAAAAGAGGATTTGGCCGATCCGTTGACTTATAAGTGAAACATCGAGGGGTTGAAACTTTTGCCAATTTGAGATGTATCAACAATGATGGTAATCCAGCCTATGTGATTGGAGATCCCATGAAGTAGGTTCATATGAGTAATAACAAGTCATTAGTTGATCAAATGTGCACTATTAAAGTATGTCTCTTCCTATGGTGTATGTGTACAAAGTGCAAGGCTGCAAGGAATGTGAGGTTGAGTTATTAAACTCTTAATCCAATAATCCATGGCCTTTTGAAGGTGGTGTATTGCACTGCAGAATACACTTGATGGATGGACTTATACGAGTGTGGAGTGGGGCCGCTCCTATGAAATTTGTGGCGAAATTTCTAGAGCACTCATGAATACCAGACGCGTGCATGGCCTATTAGCGCAAAACCGCGATAACAGCAGAAATTGTGGGGGTGTAATATGATGAATAAGATCCCTAGCTTACAACAAGAATTTTTGGTTCATAGAAGTTATCAACTTCACCAATTATTCTGTAAGTTAAATCTTATTTTATCTATATCTGGTTCATAGTCTTTAAGACACTAGATGAATTTCATTATACCCGAAACCCAGCAAATTATTCTCTCTTTCTTTCTTTCTTTCTTTGTTTACTATTAATTTTTATATCCCTTTTGAGATATGTAGGGGATTGTTGAAAAATTAGTGATATCTCAAAAGGTAATATCCATCTTGGTTTGGGAAAACTTTTCTCTTTGAAATATTATTTATATCTACTTATTATTTTATAATTAATAGAGTCAAACTAGTCGTTAACTAGGCGTTGAAGCAACACCTATATAAACATAGTCTTTGGAAAACTAAAGACACACTTTCTAATACAACTTTCTGAAACATCTTCTTCCTTCTATATGTTGAGATTCTTTCTTGAGTTTTCTGCTAGTTTTGTTCCCAGTTATTAAACTGGAAGAACTTGTTGAATCCTGGGGGATACACCTAATTTTATTTATCACTGTATGGACGAAATATCCTTAAGGACAATATCCTTGACACGCCTCAAACTAATTCTTATTCTCCATAAATAATTTTTCCAACAAAGTAATCCCTAAGCATCTTACTTACAAAGCTAGTCCCTTTAATTAGTGGCTTTTAGAAGCTTAATTAATAAGTTAAGCCTTTATATAACCAAGGATAATGCACTTACAAGTAGAATAAATACAATAGTGCGATGATAACGTATAGTAGTAGACATCTTTCTGAAATTTCATGTGCTATTCCAGTTCGCAATACATGTGTAGTCCAAATATAGTGGAGGTAACGATAATAAATGAAAAAAAAATATATAAAAGAATTACTAATTCTTTCTTCTTCTTCTTTTTTCATAAAAGAAATTGAATCCAATGGCTTGAAGAAATTAAATAGTCGATCACTTGGTTGAATTCCGAGGGAAAAATAGTCTGACTTTTCTTTAAATGCCAGTATGAAGAAATTAAACAAAATTTGGAAGCAGAAAATTTGTAAACTGAAATTTTAAAACAAGAAGGGCTAGGAGAAATTTTAAATTTGCTTTCTTCATAAGAGAGATTTCAGGATATGGCATATTTATTTCTTCAAGAATAGCGATATCAAGTGTTAATAATTGGATTGTTTTGTAAATATTTACGAATTCCTTAATATAATTATAATTTTTGGAGTAAAACTATTGGGTTAAATCGAATCCATAGGTAATTCTCCCGATAATGATGTCCAAAATTAAGATGCTCAATTTTTTAATTTTTGTTTTAAGGAAAAGATCCTTGCTAGCACATGTGATAGCAATGTGACTCTTTAATTATGTTTTATTTTAATAATACAAAAGTAATATCTTATGGGCTCTCTCCGCTTGAAGGAAAGGGCGATGTGCACAAATAGCCACTAACAATATATGTCTTTATTTTAAAGCCAATGTTTTAAATGTCTTTAGTCTTTAGCCACTGGTTTAATAAACTTATACCTGACTGAACGAAAATACCCTTCTGCTATAACTTATACCTACGCGATCAGCAGCAGCAGCAGCGCTAAACTATAGAAGATTTCTACGCGATCGTCAAAATTGCAGAAGATTCTCTTCCGATTTCAAACTATAGAATTCAACATTCTCATCCAAAAATCGACATAGATTTACAATAAGTTATACTTTTATGTGTTTCTATTGATTTTTATTTCGACATAGTTATACTTTTTCCGATTTCTATTGATTTTTATACAATAAGTAGAAATTATTATTTTTTTTGAATTTCTGGATTGATAAAGTTAAGGACATCGCGTCCTGTGATAATTCTATAAAAATTGAGCACATAATATTAGGACATAGTGTTCTGATTTTGCAAATTGAATTGAAAAAGTTAAGGACACAATGTCCTTAATTTTGTTGCTGTTCTTCTGTATATTAAGGACATACTATCATAGTTTTGCAAATTATTTTGAAAAAGTTAAGGACACTAGGTCTTGAAGTTTGAGTTTCAAGTCGAAAAGTTCAGGACACTTGGTCTTGAACTTTCAATATTTAAGGAGAGTTGGTCCTTAACTTACAGTTATAAGTTAAAAAGTTGAGGACAGGTAGTCCTTAACTTTGGGTTTCAAGTTCAAAAGTTAAGGACATGAGTCCTTAAGTTTGACTTGCAGGTTCAAAAGTTAAGGACAGACAGTCCTTAAGTTTGAATTACAGGTTCAAAAGTTAAGGAATGCATGTCCTTAACTTTGAATTCCAAGTTCAAATGTTAAGGACACTTGGTCCTTAACTTGGTCTTGAACTTACAGTACATGTTCTTAATTATACAAGGATTGTATTATAAAATATGTCATGAGTTTCCCATTCTCTTGACTTGCAAGATAAAAACAATATGCATTATAGTTGCTTTTAATGGTAGATGGACTGAAGACTATAAATATCTTTATCATCAAAAAAACCTTGTTCTAGTACCTGAGGAAATTCAGTTTGAAGATTTCAGTAAACAAATATTTGAAGTTATTGAATTGGATAGACATAAGTTTGAAGCAGCGATATGGTTTGATATCAACCTTGGAACAAGCAAGGGAATGCTTGAATCCAAAGATTTAGATCTTCACACATGTATGGAGATACTAAAAACTCATTCACTCTTCAAGGGCTATCGTTTCATTGTTGATATTTCGGAAAGAGTTTTTGGATCAACAAGCAACAAACATATCAACACAGAAACTCAACATGACAGTCAAAACAAATACCAACAAATAATGGAAATAGATATGGTTGAAGCTCAAACAATAACTGAAGAGGTGCTTTAAACACATGTTAACAGAGAAACTCAACATGGCAATCAAAACAAATGCTAATAGATAATGGAAATAGATATGGTTGAAGATCAACCAATAACTGAAGAGGTGCTTCAAACATTTGATTCTATTCAAGTAGAAGGACAAAGCATTATAGAGATTGACAACGAACAAGCTTTGGATATTCAAGTCTTGGAGAGTGCACCGGTAATCGAAGAAGTTGCTGAAAAAACCTCTACTCAACTAACTAGACGAAGATCAAATTTGAAACAAAAAGAATCCCCAACTACGATATTAAGAGAAAATGCTTCGTTGGATGAAATAAAAGTGAGATCAGTATTTGACAAAAAGAAGAGTATAATTAATTGTTTTTCGAACATAGCAATTAAAGGACATTTTGAATTCAAGGTTGTTAGATCAAGCTCAATAAGATATCCGTTGAAATGCAATGATGATAGGTGTGGTTGGTGTGTGCGTGCTTTCAGAATTAAAGATTCAACACTGTTCAAGATAGTAAAGATTGAGAAAAAGCATGACTGCTCTGTTAACACTATGAAAGCTGATCAAAGGCATGCAACTTCAAAGTTGATTAGTGGTTACATTATTGACAATCTTCGAGACCCAAGGTTTGAAGTTACACCAGCTTTTGTAATGGCAGAGATGCAAAAATTGCATGGACTAGACATTGGATATCACAAGGCGTGGCGTGCTATTCAACTTGCTTCCGCTTTAATAAGAGGAACTCCCGAAGAGAATTATGAATTATTGTCTTCATACTTGTATATGATGAGAAGTAAAAACCCGGGAACATATACTAACATAAAGATAGACGACAACAATAGGTAAACAATGAAAAAAAAAGTTTATTAGTCCATTTTATAAAATTTAGGACATGTTGTCTTTAACCAGTTAACTTTTGAGCTTGTAACCAGAAGTTCAGGACTGGCTGTCCTTAACTTTTGAACTTGTAAGTCAAAGTTAAGGACTGCTTGTCCTTAAGTTTTGAACTTTGAACTCAAAGTTAAGGATTGCATGTCCTTAACTTTATAACTTTAAACTCTAAGTTAAGGATTGACTACCCTTAACTTTTAACCTTATAATTTGAAGTTCAGGACTGCCTGTCCTTAATTTCTGTTAACCTTATTTTATATTATATTTTCAGGTTTTTTATATGTTTTTTGCATATGGATCATCAATATCTGGTTGGAATTATTGTAGACCAGTCATTGCTGTTGATGCAACTTTTTTGAAGTCAAAATTTCGTGGTGTTTTAATGATTTCAGTTTCAAAGGATGCAAATAACCAATTTTTCCCTTTAGCCTTTGGAATATCAGAATCTGAAAATAACAATTCCTATGAGTGGTACTTTAGTCAGCTTCGCAATGCAATTGGGAGCCGTGAGAATTTAATTTTTTTATCAGACAGGCATCAAGCTATTGCATATGGCATTGCAAAGGTATATCCTAAAAGCCATCATGTGATTTGCATCTATCATTTGGAGCAGATCCTAAAGCGAAGGAAGGTGAAAAGTGAGGTCATAAAACTTTTCCAAAGTGTTGCAAGAGTATACAGGCGCAAAGAATTTGACCTATACATGTCAGATATAGCAAAAGTAGATAAGAAGTCTTATGACTACTTGATGGAAGAACCACCGGAAAGGTGGGCACGTTCTTGTAGTCCACGAAACAAATATAGTTGAGTCAATGAATTCCGTCCTATTAGAAGCAAGGGATCTGCCTATATTAAGAATGATGGATTTCATTCAAGTGAATCTACAACGTTGGTTTTATGAAAGAAGAAATGAAGCAGAAGGAACTTTTTATGATGTTTCTTGTTGGGTAGAGGAGGAATTGAAGAAAAAAATAGATTTAGCATTTACTTTGAATGTAAGTATTATGTTCTATGTTTAGCTTATGATTTTAATATAATTTAACATAATGTACTAACTTAGAAATTTTCAACATTAAAGGTCTTCCCTGTTGATTCATGGCGTTCTAGAGTTGAAGAAGAAGAAATAACTTTCTTGGTGGACTTAAACAAAAGAACATGTGATTATTTTCAGTTTCAATTTGATGAATTACCATGCATACATGCAATTGCAACTATCGAGAAGAGAAACATCAAGAAGTCTAACTTTTGTTCGCACTGCTACTTAAAGGAATCTTGGCTGAAAATATATGAAAGACAAATACATCTTGTAGGACATACTGATTCTTGGATTGTACCAGAGAGTGTTAAGTCACAAATTATTAAACCTCCAAATTTCAAAGTGCCACCAGGTAGAAGGCAGAAGAAAAGACATATTCCAGCTACCGAGTTATCAAAAATAACATTCAAATGAGGTCGTTGCAGAAGAATTGGTCATAATAGAACATCTTGTATATATTCTCTTACAGTCCATCCATTTTCAAGAAAGCATAGAGAATAGTAGATATATCCGCTTTTGTTTATCGACTCTTTTAAGTTTTTGCTATAAATTGGAGTCATTTATATTATTCTTATTTGAGCAGATGTCTGAATTTTTCAAAATTTCTTTCTGCTTACCTTCTTTTTGTTTCTTGTGAGTTTAAAGATTAAAAGTTAAGGACAAGAGTCCTTAACTTTGAGTTACAGGTTCAAAAGTTAAGGATAGAGAGTCCTTAACTTATAGTTCAAAGTTCAAACTTAACTTATAGTTCAAAGTTTAAAACTTAAGGACTGTTTGTCCTTAACTTTGAGTTTCAAGTTCAAAAGTTAAGGACAGACAGTCCTTAACTTTGAGTTTCAAGTTCAAAAGTTAAGGACAGACAGTCCTTAACTTTGAGTTTCAAGTTCAAAAGTTAAGAATAGGAGTCCTTAAGTTGGACTTGCAGGTTAAAATGTTATGGACAGACAGTCCTTAAGTTTGAATTACACGTTCAAAAGTTAAGGACAGACAGTCCTTAAGTTTGAATTACACGTTCAAAAGTTAAGGACAGACAGTCCTTAACTTTGAGTTCAAAGGTTAAGGATAGTCTGTCCTTAACTTTACAAAAGTTAAGGACAGGCAGTCCTTAAGTTTGAATTACACGTTCAAAAGTTCAGGACAGGTAGTCCTTAACTTATAGTTCAAAGTTCAAAACTTAAGGACTGTCTGTCCTTAACTTTAAGTTTCAAGTTCAAAAGTTAAGAACATGCAGTCCTTAACTTATAGTTCAAAGTGCAAAACTTAAGGACTTTCTGTCCTTAACTTTGAGTTTCAAGTTCAAAAGTTAAAGACATGAGTCCTTAAGTTTAACTTGCAGGTTAAAAAGTTTTGGACAGACAATCCTTAAGCTTTAATTACACGTTCAAAAGTTAAGGACATGAGTCCTTAAGTTTGACATGCAGGTTCAAAAGTTAAGGACAGACAGTCCTTAAGTTTGAATTACACGTTCAGAAGTTCAGGACAGTCAGTCATTAACTTTGTACTCAAAGTTTAAAAGTTAAGGACACTTGGTCCTTTACTTTGAATTTAAAGTTCAATTACACTTAGTCATGAACTAATACTAACAAACTCAATGGACAAATCAACACTTGAGAGAAATAAAGAAATTAATAACATGATGCCTTGATATTACTCTGAAATTGTAATTTTGCATAGCTGTGACAAAAAATTTATGCTACGCAAACAAAATATAAGTGCCTTTTGAGGAATTTACAGAATATTTCCAAAGTTTTCTGAACTTGCAGAATTCATATGGATTCTTTATAGCAATTTTATACAAAAGATCAACCACAACTAACTTTCTTTACAACTAAACTACAACTCCTTTGGACAGCAAGTTTCATTTTCACTCTCATAATCATCGCCAACATTTTCTGGTGGTGTATCATAACCAGAATTGCTTTTCCACTCACCATGTGCTCAAAGATTTGCGGCAAGTTCTTTTCTAAAGTCTTTAATGTCTTCAGGTTGGAATTTCTCCACATCCTTTCCAATCATCAACAACTCCACATATTTGATCAGGAATGCACCACAATCAGTCCTAAGAAAAATGTAAGATATGCAGTGAATTAAACAAGAAATCTAAAGTACATATAAATAATATAACAAATAACAACACGTACGATCCAGTCTGGGGTGGTGATATTTGCCACTGAATATCAAATTTGTTGAAGGCATTTCCAAAAGACTTGTAATGTTTGTCAAACTATGAGAACTTTAGCAAGTGGGGGATCATGCGTGCATACATTTCCATGTGATTCATTCCTGCCTCATATGGCTCACTATATATGGAATCGTATGCATCAATCTTTTTCTGATTCAAGTCCAATACCGCCAAAAGAAAGTGTGTCACAACACTATCATCTTCTGAAGGGAGCTGACATGGGAAAAAGATTTTGTCAACCTCTGTCCAAGCAACTCCACATCTACGACTGTCCCCCCACACATATGGTGTCACTAACAACTGATTATGACCAGCACACCAAAGTCATCAGTAGCATCTTCACTAAAATCTTTATACACAAGCACCATATAGTTATCAAAAAGAATATTAGTAGTTGTGCAACGAAAAGGATGGTCGCGAGGGTAGTAGCATTCCTTCTTTCTCAGATAATATAGGGCAATATCAATATGCTTCATAAAAAGGCAAAAAATAAAACAAATCCATCAGTCATAAAATAATTAAAAAATGATAAACTAAGAATAAAGAAAATAAATGCCTTGCGAATTATCTAACCTTATCATCAAGTACAAACCTGCTATCTGAAAGCTCAAGGAAGAATATTTTGCTACTGATTTTTTGATTATACAATTTGTATGGAATCTTTTTCACACCATTATCATCAGCATATATATTAGTTTGTCCCATGAAAAATTTGAAAATATCAAAGTTAGATGTTAGTCCTGAACTTAGCCTTTCAAGTTAAAATATTAAGGACATGCAGTCCTTAAATTTGAATTACAGGTTCAAAAGCTAAGGACACTTGGTCCTGAAGTTTGAGTTTCAAGTTCAAAAGTTAAGGACACATGGTCCTGAACTTAGACTTACAAGTTTAAAAGTTCAGGACACTTTTTCCTTAACTTTGAGTTCAAAGTTCAAAACTTAAGGACTGTCTGTCCTTAACTTTGAGTATCAAGATCAAAAGTTAAGGACTCATGTCCTTAACTTTGAGTTCAAAGTCCAAAACTTAAGGACTGTTTGTACTTAACTTTGAGTATCAAGTTCAAAAGTTAAAGACAGGAATCCTTAAGTTTGACTTGCATGTTCAAAAGTTAAGGACAGGCAGTCCTTAACTTTGAATTACATGTTCGAAAGTTAAGGACACACGGTCCTGAACTTTGACTTACAAGTTCAAAAGATAAGGACACTTGCTCCTTAACTTTGATTTTCAAATTCAAAAGTTAAGGACACTTGGTCTTAAACTTAGACTTACAATGACAGAAGTTAAGGACACTTAACTTTAGCAATTTCAATATCAATACTGAAATACATTAAGGGACTTACTCTTTTTTGCGACCTCTCCTTTTCTCATTGCGCAACTACACAATGAATTTCTTCAATAATTTTGCATCATCTGTGGCATAATGAAAAATACACCTACGAGTATATGTTGATTTTATCCAGCCTGAACTCTTGAGAGTATTTTGATTGTCTGTCATCGATGTTCCTATTTTTCTTTCCTGATCAAAAGGAGATTTCAACTGCCAACTAAGCTTCTTGTTCCTTTTACCTCGACCAAGCTCTTCTTCAACATTTCTTTCAACCTCCATAGACAGACCCCCATCAATGCTCATTCGTGTAATTGGAGGAGTAGGAATAAGAATAGAAAATGGCAGACCATCATAACCAATACTATCTCTCTTTCTTTTCCTCGTATATTGGGTAAGATCTTCATCATTGTTTTCTTCTGCAGGCAACACTATATATATATATATATATTAGTTTGTTGCAAGTCGTCAAATGAAGAGATAAAATTCAATTATGAATATACTTTTTAGGACACAATCGATACTTGTCTTGTTCACACTGCCTTCTTGTGTTTTTTCAACAGACAATTCAGCTAACATATTGCTTGCATCATTTTCTTTATCTTCCAACTGCACATTTTCTTTATCTTGCAATTGTTCTCCATGTTCTTCAGTTGCAAGTTCACAAGATTCTGCAAAATATTTACAAGAGCTAACACAATTAGTACTTGTTACTAATCTTTGATTAAAACAAACATGTATAAAATTAAAAAAAAACATCGTCTAACTGTTTGCAATAGTCAAGATCATCCCAATTAAATCATTATCTTCACTAGCATTTTCTTGGGTTCCAATATTGTCGGTAAGAGAGGGAGGTGTAGAGAGATCACATGTTCCATCTATGCATTTGGAAACAATCTCACTTCTGCTTGTTCATTCAGTATTTTCTACGTCTTGAGATTGTACTCCACTTTTCTCTTGATACTACACTCCAGCTTCTTTCCTTGCAGCTTCAAAAGATTCTGTAATATTTGCAATTAATACCCATTCTAATAATTCACTAAAACTAACATTCAATATATAATGAAAATTTTATCTAACCTTGATTGACACAAGTTTGAACTCCATATTTCTCTTTATATGACAGAGATGTAACAGATCATATGTTCCTTCTAAGCATTTGCATACAATCTTACTGACACGTGTTCCCAATGGACTTTCTAAATCCTTCTAAGATTGCAATCCACATTTACAAATTTTTTCTGTTATTCCTGTCTCTTTTGGAT